CCTATATCTAGCCTTGAAATAAAGGAATTATTGTTACTCTAATCTGCATTTGGGTCCTGCTTCCTGCACACCGTAACAGCCACCGTAACACTTTCAGAGGAAAGATGTTGTAGACAAGGTGGTTGAAAACCACAGAGTGCAGCAGAGTAATAGGGGGACTGGTGAACAACAGACTTACAAATCTTCCCAGGATGGTTCACACTTCAAGGAAAACGGTTTTCTATCAGGGGATGACTTAAGAATTTTGTTGACTATATACATAGATGACTTTGAGATTTGCAATCCTCTGGGTACTTCTCGCAAGAAGCATAAGCTTTGTGGAATCTACTGTACTTTGAGTAATTTGCCTACTTCAAAAGTATAAATATAGTATAAGAATATGGCAATACGCCTTTATTGATAGCATACATTTAGGAAGAAACAAATGTTTTTTTGAAAAAAAATAAAAAAACGAATATCCGAATAATGAAATTGAAACCCGAATAGTTGGCCAACGAACGAATATTCGAATAGTCGAATATTCGGGTACAGCCCTAGTGGATATATCTGCCGATTTTGCACAGCAACAAGTACAGACATTCAAACAAAAGAGGTAAAGTCAGGTGCATTCAGTCTAAGGACAAAAGAACTCCATGACTCTCATGTGAAATCAGCGCAGGAGAATGGGGCAAGCTGTTTTGGGGTGAAAAGACATTGTTCCATCACTCAATCTCTTGACCACTTCTGTATTCACACGGGTTATCCTCCAGATATTATGCATGATATTTTTGAGGGGTTAGTGCCAGTAGATTTTGCACGTTGTTTGGCATTGCTAATATCTAAGAAATATTTCAATCTTGAAACCCTCAACAAATCTATCCTGCAGTTCCCTTATAAGTGGGCAGACAAAACAAACAGGCCACATGTGATCCCACACACATTTTCTAAAAGAAAAACAATAGGTGGGAATGCCCATGAAAATTGGGCTCTGTTGAGACTACTCCCATTCATAATTGGGCATCTGGTGCCTGAGGGTGAAATTGCATGGCAAATACTGTTGGACTTAAAAGACATTGCAGAGCTTGTGGTTGCTCCAAGACAAACAGATGAGGACATCAGCCAGCCGACATGCTGGCGGATGTCCTCCGCCTGCTCCGATGCCGCCTTCATGGAATCCACCATGGCCAGGAACTGGGGCCCGAACAGCCTGTCCGAGCTGATCGGAGCGTCCAGTAACACCTTCCTGGCTGGCTCTGTGACCGCTGCCTGCTGTAACCAGAGGTGGCGCTGGATCTGTGTCATCCAGGCTGTGATCCTCGCCTGGGACACCGCCACGGCTGCGCACAGCGTGAGCGCCGTGCTGGCCGCCTTAGCGATCTCCTCCGCCTCCTCTGGAGCCACGGTGGTGGACCGTTCGACCAATGTCACCACCGAGTTGGTCAGCAATGCAATATTATTCGCCGCTACCGACGCCTGGAACGCACACTGGTGCGCCCGGTCAGCCTGGCGGGCGACATACTGGTCCTTGGGGTCGGCCAACATAGGGCGCCGTCCGGCGACCAAGTTGGCCTGTCTAACCCCGAAAAACGCCGTTAAGCTCGGTTCCAGAGCGGGGGTGGTTGGAAAAAGGTGGCCACCGGAGCCCTTAAGCTCCTCGGGTTCGCTGCTGCACCTTCCTGGTAACGCCTAATGGCGGGGAAGCGCGGCCAGATCGGGGAAGAGGGGGGAAGGGGAGAGCCGCATGGTGAGCCATGGAGGGAGGCGGGGTAGGAATTGTCTGACTCCTGCCCCCCACTCGCCTCCAGAAACAGGCTGTCTCTGTTCTGGATGGGCTCCTACCCCCCCCAGACGTCTTCCTCACCCGCAGCAGCTAGAGCGTCCGCCCTTCGCTTCCTGTCGGATGAAGGGAGACGCACACAGTGAGGACATGCGACCTGCTGGCTGAGAGCCGCGTCCGCGTGCTCTGGCCCCAGACAGGCTGCGCATATCGGGTGCAAATCATAGCTCATAATGTACCCCGTATTGCACGAAGGACACATACGGACACACTCTTTGTTGCTCATGATCTTGCTTTTCTCGTGCTTCAGTAAACTGCTGGTTGCTGAAGAAAAGAGTGAGCAGATTGCCGGGCACCCTTCCTATTTATACCGGAAGGAGGCCCGAGGGTGGGGCCCACCTGGCGGGTGGGCGTGGACTACAAGTGTTTCAGTGCTGTGCGGGGGCGCAGAGGGATAACCCAATAGCGATAGCCTTAGAGGGCGAAGCCATATACGAAATAGAAGCCAAACTACTCTTTGCTATGCCCCGCCCCCCCCCCCCCCCCCAAGCAACATCAGGGCCAAAAGTCTGAAAGCGAAAAAAAAAGATCTGAAAGTGAAAAACGATCTGAAGGTGAAAAGCAATGTGAAACCTGAAAAAACAAGATTTGAAACTTAAAAAATAATTGTTTTGAATCTGAAAACGAAAAATCTGCAACTGAAAAAAATAAGGATTAAAATATCAAAATATGTATAAAAGTGAAATCTGAAAATAAATATTTTATTCAAAAAAATTGCTGAACTGAATCAAAAATAATATTCAACCTGAACAATTATTTCAAATACTTATTTTTATTTTGAATACATCATTGTATTTTTCAAAGTTCAGGATAACAACTTGAACTTTCAAATAAATTGTATTTTTTTGAATGATCAAAACTTATGACCCTGAAATAGCTCTATATATATGGCGCTGATCTTAGCTATCTCTTAGTGGAGGAAAACAGTTATGACATCACTTACGCGACTCTGGGATTTGTAGTCTTTCTAGTTGCGTATTTTTCACAATTTGGCACAATTCAAAGTTTTCTCTCTCCATTGATTTCAATGCATAATTTTTCCGAAATAAGGTCCCATGGACCGGAAGTAGATGGGCGTGACTTCGCCACTCTAGCTGTGATATTTCTTAAGGGTATAGATGAGAGTAACAAATGCGTCACTTCCGGGCAAAAATAACGTCTCCGCCCACTTTTGGGGGAAAACAACGCTGTCAGTTGAACGGCGGTCAATACAAATTCTGAAGTTTTTGCCAATCCGATCAGAAATGGAAGAAAACCGGAGATTTTTGGATCATCAAAGAGCCCGATTCCAATGGCCAGACAGGCAAACAATTGCATTAAGCCATTAGAAATCGACGATCGGGCTCGATATATGGTTAAATATAGCAGTAGGCTATCGATTTTCATAGATGAGAGTAACATCACTTTACGGCCCCGCCCACTTTTGGGAGAAACAACGCTGTCATTTGAATGGCGATCGAGCCTGAAGCCACAGAGCTCTTCTGTTACTGTCCTTTCTTCTTAGAGGAAGTACAGAAACACTGAACTCTGGATTATTTTTAATGTTTGAGGTGCAATAAACGACACAGCAGCTTTTTGGCATGATACAACTATTATGTTCCGCCTCGCTCATGAGAGTAACAGCTGGAGAAATTACAGCCTCGCCTACTGAATTTAATTTAACCATATATCAAGACCGATTGTCAAATGTAATTATTTGCCTGTCTGGCCATCGTAATCGAGCTCTTTGAAGATCCAAAAATCGACGGTTTTCAAATTTTTTTGATCGGATTGGCAAAAACTTCAGAATTTGTGTTGACCGCCATTCAAATGACAGCGTTGTTTTCCCCCAAAAGTGGGCGGGGCCGTAATTTTTGCCCGGAAGTGACGTAGGTGTTACTCTCATCATAGCATTTATGGTGTTTTTTTTAGGGGTATCATTTTCGGTTTGTTTTGTTCGATTGTTTGTTTTTATCTCATTGTATTATGAGGGATTTAGAATTATAACATTAAGTATAAGGATTTTACTTGGAAAATATTACCCGGAAGTATTACGTGTATCGTTTCCGGCCTATACCTCCATATAGTGATGGGAATTCCGGCTCTTCTTGGTGAGCCGGATCATTTGGCTCGGCTCACCAAGAAGAGCCGGCTCTTTCGGCTCCCAAACGGCTCTTCAGTTTACCACTTATTATACCTTTTAATTAAATCAAATGTATCCCTGTTTTGACTAATGATTTATATGTGTACACATATCACTTAAATTATTCAATACATCCATTGTACTGAAGTATTCAAAAGTAAAAATTACATGTTTAATATAAATGATTTGCTGTGGCCAATTGTTTTCATTGCATTTACAGACACGTGCAACTCTCCGATACCACCCAATGAATGCATTGACTTGCTTGTAGAACCACGCTACACAAAACAGATAGCAACACCTATAAAACTATTTTAAAAAAAAGGGGCTACTGTATCGACCTATATAAAGTATATAAATATATATATGTTTTTCAAAATACCAAAAAGATCCTGCATTTTAGCCATGCCTCATTTCGCTCTATTTGCTCTTTCCAGAGCTGTTTTTGCAGGGGGCTGATTCTGTGAGCTGCAGCTGACCACGCCCCCCTGCAGGAGAGGGGAGCGTGCTTTAGATCAGCTGCTGGGCTGTCAGAAGAGGGGGAGAATCTCCGTCCTCCGTGTTTTATTTTTATAGAAGTAAGAAGAGAAGTAATGGGGCAGAAACCCTCCTTTTTACGCAGCGGTCCAGACATAGACATCAAACGGCGACACATATTCAGTTGCCCGTTACTTTGGCATTAGGGCAGGGATATCTAGATACTTTCCAAGGTTTGCCATAATTAATTGTGCTACTTTTAAAGCAAGCAACGATGTTTTCAAATCTGTAATCAAAAAGCTCCTCAAAAACACTATCGAAGCAGTTCCTGCCGTTGCTACGTTAGTTCAAACAGTAACAACGGACTACTTTTCTTAGCGGATGCATGTCAATTTAAATAAATACATAAAACTATTTTTTAAATCACTAAAATCATTTTCTAAATCCATAAAAGCATTTCCATTAATATTGGGAGTCATGTCGTTACTTTGTTGAGAATGTGGCCATGTAATAAGCGGGATAATGTGCACATTGCATATTGCATAATGTGCCTTCATGCCGATCTAGATCCCTCCGCAAAAATGGCTCGTTCGCGGGCGAGAGCCGGCTCCCGTCGTTCACTTAAAAGAGCCGGCTCGTTCGCGACCGACACATCACTACCTCCATAGCCTTGCCAGCAGCGGGGTTGCCGGTGGTTTGAGTAGCGGTGCAAATCCATTAATGAAAAGTCATGGCAGACAAGGCACAGATACCAGAAGCGATTAAAGTCCAAGGTGAAGTGGTGCTGAAGCTGAAGTCAGAGAAGGCTAGTAAAGAGCAGGTCAGTATCTCAGTGAGGTGTGCTGTGTGCTGTGTGCTGTGTGCGAGCTGTTAACATGCGGTGAACAGCATGTCATGTTGGGCTGGAACAGAGCAGGGATGCTAGCCAGCCAAAGATACCGCTACATAAACTAACTGAAGAGCTGACTAGTAACCCGCACTGACCAACACCATTAAACTTACGAGACATTTTCGGAAAAACTGACCAGGACTGTCACTTCTGTGAAGCATTCATTGTGATGCAATAATTTACAGGCGTGTCATCAGCATGTTCAGGAAACTGGCCAGTGGTGGAAAGTAATAAGTACATTTACTCAAGTACTGTGCTTAAGTACACATTTTAGGTACTTAAGTAACTCGAACCATTAGTGGGTCAACACAAAATCTATATGGAGCAATGTTGCTAAGAAGTTTTTTGTAAAAAATATTTCACAGTTCCAACTTCTTAAATGTTAAGATTTGCTGCTTTTGCTTTAAAATATTTAAACAAATTGTAGTTTTTTTCTGCAATGAGTACTTACTTACTCCCGAGACTTTAAGTATATGTTCCTAATCATACTTAATTACTTTGATTTAAGTACCATTCTCGATGCGGTACTTAGTTAAGAATCAGAATACTTTTTCCACCACTGCCTGTGACCACTTAATCTTTAGCTAATCAGATGTTTTACGGTATTATACACACACAGTGCAATCTGACAATGTAATACTTTAGTTTGATACTTTATTATCAGCCGGCACAAAGATAACTAATAAAGATATATCCTAGTCTGTACCAGTTTTATCTCAATTTAAATACTGGTTCTTCCAATAATCTGCCATGCATCACAGAGGAGGTATCAGCATGTTTTTGAATTTAAAGTGAGATAAACCTCACTTCAAATAAAACCTTAAAGCATTGACAGAGAGTGCTACAGTAAGTGTTTGCACCATGTTTCTCTGTTACTATTTGTCTAGTTTGGTCTGATTTATTTGCTGTTTTGTCCGGCAAAATGTCATTGAGCCCACAAAGGGTCTAACCTCAGGACATAATTCAGCAAAACAAGCAGTGGTTATGGAAAGTGACAGTGGAAAGTTCCATACGCCTTTTTCTCAGACATTTCTTGTTATAGTGGACAAAGAACAGGAGTTACTAATAACATGGCTGTGTGACTGTAAACCAGTTTACACATTACAAGGCGAAAGTGAAAGTGAAAAGTGAAAGTGAAGCAGCTAATTCCACATTACACCTAAAGTCATCAAGTGTAGTTAAACTTCAAATGTATAGCTTCTGGGGTCAATTTTGTAAAATCATTCAAAGAAAATGATTTGTATAACTCAGAAATTAGGTTTGATTTAGTGTAAATGAGGTCTATTGACCATACATTTAAAAAAGAAGAGTAAAACATGTGATAATTAGTAGGTATAAAGTTGCGTTAAAACGTGTAACACAGATTTGATTATTTATACTACATGCTTTATAAATAGTCAAACCGAGAGGACAAAAGTTCATAGTAAGACCACACAAGAGTTAAAATGATACCCCTAAAAACACTGAATGCACTCGACATGTAGATTGGATTTTAGTGTCAGAGCGCAGCCCCTGTGTGTGTGTGTGTGTGTGTGTGTGTGTGTGTGTGTGTGTGTGTGTGTGTGTGTGTGTGTGTGTGTGTGTGTGTGTGTGTGTGTGTGTGGTGTGTGTGTGTGTGTGTGTGTGTGTGTGTGTGTGTGTGTGTGGTGTGTGTGTGTGTGTGTGTGTGTGTGTGTGTGTGTGTGTGTGTGTGTGTGTGTGTGTGTGTGTGTGTGTGTGTGTGTGTGTGTGTGTGTGTGTGTGTGTGTGTGTGTGTGTGTGTGTGTGTGTGTGTATGCTGGCTGGCCTCTTTGATTGACTCGCTCTCATGTGATCTCATGTTCTATCCTCCACGCTGTGATGATGATGATGATGCGGCGTCATGCCCTGCCCCAGTGATAGGGTTGCTTACCACTTTTCTCCTGTTCTTCCTGCTAACCCCGGATGACCTCGGCCTGCCCCCCACCCCCCCCCTTCATCACCATCATCTACCTCACTGCTGAACCCAACCCCCCTGGACATTACTGATCAACTCACTTCCTGGATCTACCTCTACCGACCGTTGTGATTGGCTGCTGTGGCTGTTCCTGTACGACACCACTGAACACTGCTGTTCCCATGATACACTCCTGAACTTTTGCCTGTCCAATTATTGGACTTATTTTTTTCCGGCCATGTTGTGTGTTCGTGCTTGCTTGGGTCTGATTCGGACTGCGATGCGTGTCCGAACTCTGCATTCTTTCCCTGGGATCACTGTGGCTCAGGTAGGCTCATGGATCTGTGTGAAATAAAATGTTGTTGGGATTGACCGGTGTTTTTACGACTATTGGAATCAATTATTTGTATTCGATTCCTGATCAAATAAATGAATATAAAAACGTTGTTACTTTGGCTCTGATGCAGCTCTGTCTGTCTGTCTGGCTCTGTCTGCCCCTCCATCAGCCCTCTGACATCCAGGCAAACTGAGCTGTGTATTTCTCAGACGCTTGACTTTCAATCTTTGAGCACATTTGAATTTGCTTTAGTTGATCAGTTCAGTATGTGATGTATGAAACCTTGTAGAGTAAGTGTTGACAGTTGTTGTGTGTGTATTACAGATCGATGAAGAGGTTTCCAAACTGCTGCAGCTGAAGGCTCAGATCGGAGGAGATGATGGAGAACACCAGTTTGTTCTCAAGACGGCAAAGGTAAGACGTAGTTCTGCTGCATTCAAACACACAACCAGAGCACTGCAGCAATATGTTGTTAATATGATTTGTATCTTTGAATCTTTAAAACCTATCTACATGGAGAAACACATGCCATTTTAAAGGTATAAAGTTGCAATCTGGCATGGAAAAAAATACATTTGAAAATTGTATACAGCTAAATGTTTACTATCCATAGATTGTTATTAACTTTCTTGGAAAAATATCAGAAAAGCACAGAGCACCATCACACTGTTAATGTATTGTAACATAATAACATGTAGCCCTCAAACCCCCCAGCATGGAGGTCTATAACATAACATAGTAGTTAAAGCCCACAAAGCTAACAATGGCTGTCTCACATTCTGTTTACATGAGCTTCCTATCACTAGTATAGTAATAGAGCCGTGACCTTGAAGGCAACATTTCTCAGTTTTACCCGCCGACCTCAGCACTACAACCCTGCTGATCGATGCACGCCTAATTGACAGAGTTCTTTAAAACATTTCAAAATTCATCGTCACGATTTAAATGCAGCAAATGTGTTTCTCTATCAGGGAACGAGGGACTACAACCCCAAGCAGATGGCCATCAGAGAAAAAGTGTTCAACACCATCCTCGGCTGCTTCAAACGCCACGGTGCAGAGACCATCGACACACCTGTTTTTGAACTAAAGGTACATATTCACATCACCGTTCACTCTTGGCAAGCAAAAACATGGCGGCTAACATGAAGAATTGCATGGCTACAGCACAAGCCTGTCTAATGTTGTCCATGGTACCTGTTGACCTTTATGTCAGAATCTATCCTCTCAAGGGCAGGATCATAGAGTAGTGCAGTGATGACGTATCTTTGTGTGCTGACCCTGAAGTAAGCATCTCACTTGTTACCTCAACATAAAACAATGTGATTTGTTGCCATTGGATTTTGGAATATTGCAGAAAACAAGATCTGATATTTTTCATATTAACATCACTGTGATTTTTTTTAAAGCATAATTGCATTCTCCAGAAGTAAAAAGCTAACATTAAGCTATAAACAAAATGCATGACTTCACGTCACCACCACCAAGCTCAGTGTGAGAAAAAGTTTTTAGAGAGTACTTGTCCATGGACAAGTGAGTTTGTCAATTTACTTGTCCGAATACATTTTTCACTTGTCCAGAATGGACAAAAATTGGGGCCACTGGAATCTTCTTCTTCGCCATCGTATTTTACATTTTTATGACACCGCTAACGTAAGTGAGCGGTAAGATTTGACTGCATCACACATAGGGTTGGGTATCGTTTGGATTTTAACGACTCCGGTTCTGCTTTTCGATTCCGGTTATTTTCGGTTCTCGATTCCGGTTCTTTGAGAGGGTAAAAAAAAGTCCCATGACAAACTGGGAGAAAAATATATTTATGAAAACATGAAGTCAAATCTGTATTCCTATTTACAAATCACTTCATACTGTTGAATTTCGTTACGGTTATTGAATACAATTATATAAAAATAATCTCTGCATTGTTTAGTTAGTTCTAAGTGGTGCAGTTTGAGAATGTACAATTGGCCCAGTCTCCTCTGATGTTACACTGCAACCTGCCTGTAAGACAGAGTCCAACCACACATGTCCAACACATAGGCCTAATAATAATAATACATTATATGTATAGCCTATAGGCCTAGCGCTTTTCTACAACTCAAAGACGCTTGCACGCTTACACATGTCCTGCAATACACATGCTGCCCAGCTGTTTGTAAAAGTAAATAAATAGTATTTTAATTTCAATAATGTACTTTCTATACCCTGCTTCATAAACAATACTGACATCCCTGTGCTCCTCCGAGTCTGGGGGTCCGGGGAGGTGAGGACAGCGCGAGGACACAGACAGGGAGGCTGCTTTACTTCATAAAGGAAATGGTGGTCAATATTAACAACATAGGAGCTAAAACGCTGACTTTGCTCACGACTGACTGACTGGCTGACTGAGATGCAGCGATCAGCTGATACGGAGCATAGAGAGCTGCGGTCCGCGGGGCTCGGACTCCGCCCCCTGTCCTCACAACTCTTATTAATCCCGGTCTAACTGTACAGAAAGCGGCGAGATGCATTTCCTTAGGAATCGACAAGCAGAACCGAAACTAACATTTCTAAACGAACAATGGCGGACACGTACAATTTGCGAATGAGTTCTGCCTTTTGTAAACTGAATTTATCAATAAATCAGGGCGAAAACCGTCACTTGTCCGCCGGACAAGTCAATTGAAAGATCTACTCCGATATTGTAAATAACACGTCCCGGACGGTGGGACATGTACTTTTTCGCACACTGCAAGCTATGTTTTAGAAACAGACTTTTTAAAATTCCCCAGTGCTGCGTTTACTGACGTATTTTATGTCTAAGGACATTAGTGATGGGAATTATGGCTCTTTGAAGGGAGCCGGATCTTATGGCTCCGTTCCTTTAACCAGTTAAGCCCGAAGGTTCCCCCAGTGGACCCCTCCCACAGTTTTTTTTTTCTCACATGTCTCAGGGCTTCTTAACATTTATGAAACTATTAATGTTTCATACCCTTTTAAAGGTAAGAAACTCCGCTAACTGACAATAAGAACAATTGTTAGCTAAAAAAAACACAAAAGTAATACCAAGCCTTTGAATTAGCATTGAGCGAAAAAATGCTAACTAATGCTAACGCTTTTTTACACACAACACACGGTAGAAATGCCCTTATTACTATCTTAACTGCACAAACAAGATATACGATTTAAAGCTGAGACTCCACAGATTCCACACATGTAATGTCATCACTGTCCGACCTCGAATTCCTGGATCTATCAGCCAGAAAAGAGAAAGTAAACAACATCCGGTTCCAAAAATATTACAATAATTACGTCTTACCTTTTTTGATTTGTGATCAAAAGTTGTGTTCAACAGAATAAAAACGCATCTCAAGGTTAATCCAATGTCTTTGTGTCACGTAGAATTTTTTTACTGATAATCAATCATCATATTTATGGCAATATACTCGGTATAAAGTATTGCCGTTCCAGGCTTGCACTTTCAGATATGCTTCGTTTGCTTCTCTATTACGTCCGCTATGGTAATGTTTACGTAGATTTGGGAACTGCCCATCGATTCTATTGGTTCTGATCCATCCATCCATCCATCTTCTCCCGCTTATCCGTGGTCGGGTCGCGGGGGTAGCAGTTCCAGCAGAGAGCCCCAAACTTTCTTTTCCCTGGCGACATCAACCAGCTCTGACTGGGGGATCCCAAGGCGCTCCCAGGCCAGCGAAGAGATATAATCCCTCCACCTGGTCCTAGGTCTACCCCTTGGTCTCTTCCCAGCTGGACGTGCCTGGAACACCTCCCTAGGGAGGCGCCCAGGTGGCATCCTAACTAGGTGCTCGAACCACCTCAACTGGCTCCTTTCGACGTTCTGATGGTTAAGAAAAAGGTGTAAATCACACGAATCGACCAATGGGTTCCAGAGATATGGTCCTGCGCAAATTATAAAGAATGCCAGCCAGCGTGCCAACATTACGCAGCCCACTTCATTTATTGTTTACAGCGTAAAGAAGCAGGTATTGCAGGAGGACCCAGAGCGCACAGAGCGGACAGCAGATAACGGAATTGCAGTTTTATTGCTTATAGATTATCAGAACATTTCAAAGGGGACACAGCCCCATTGGATATTAATCTATGGATTAACTACATCATCGTTTTTATCGTTTTAATGCCATTGAAGACCAGTTTAGACCAGACAACGAGGAAGGTAAGTCATTGTTAGCCTAGCGCATTAGCGCTAGCGCCATTTGTTTTGATGTACGTTTTTGTTGATAACGTCGCGAGTTTGTATCTTTCAGTGTTGGGCTGTTCAGGTGGGCACCGTTAGATTCTGTGTCTCCTTGCGATCATAAACAATGTGTTGGATGTGCAGCTAGGATAAGTAATAAGGGAGCGAGGAGTGATTTTCGGTGCTGTAATAGGTTAGCATTTTTCGCTCGGGGCTAATTCAGAGGCTCACTGTAAGAGTAAGCCTATGTTTTATTTTTTTTATTTTTTTTATTTTTTTCCACAACAGTTGTATTTGGATGGAATGAATACCTATAGTGATAATTCAAAGTAATACAATGATTTTTACAGTGAAAAAGTTCAAATGGAACCGATGGTTCCCAAATTACCCAGAGGTGAGTCCGCTTAGACTTTATTTTTCTAAATCTCTCTAAAAAGGTCAAATTTCACTTGTTTTGCATCAATCTTGATACAGGGTACTTATTATATGTTATAGTTTGGATTCGCGTTTGGCTCATTTTCCATCTGGAAAACACGTCGTCTACCTGTCCTGTACCACTTGTTATGACTTCTCTCTCGCGTATTCCGTTAGACCAGTGTTTCTCAAACTTTTTCATACCAAGGACCACTTAACCAATAAAAAAACACTGACGGACCACCTAACTCCACAAATATCCAAAAACCCATAGTTTTTCTAGAACAGATTACAAATCGCCTGAAAATGGTACAAACAGGTGACGGAGGTGTTGGCTGGGCTATATCATGCAATCGAAAGTGAAACTTAAGCTCGCTCCATTGCGGAGATATTCCCGCGAGAGTGCGGAAAACTTAAATTAACTTATATATTTATAATGTGAAATGTTACCAATATAATCACGGACCACTAGGGGGCGCTCACGGACCACACTTTGAGAAGCACTGCGTTAGACCCACCCCATCTCACTCCTCGTGCTGAAACCTACCAATCAGAGTAGGGGCGGGTCTTCACAGAATACGTGTGGGGAACAAAATCAAGCTTTTTAAAAGGCGAGTGGATTTTGGCAGGCAGTGAGTGCGGACCAACGATTGAACGATAAAAAGAACGGCTCTCACCAAGTACGACTCGGTTCCCCTCGTTCGTACCAAAGAGCCGTTCAAAAGAATCGTCTCGTTCGCGACCGACACATCACTAAAGGACATCTCTTCAGCTCGTGTTTACCACTTCAGCTCATGTTCATGTTCATGTTCAGCTCAGCTCACCGACCTTATTTCATGCGTTTTACCAAAGCCAAGTCCAAAAACTGTTTAATTTTTGACAGAAGGAACTGGAAATGTTGACATGTATCGAGGTTTTAGGACACCTTCACTTCTCCATTTTTAGATCATGTAACACTGGAAAAGGAGGAGTTGGTGTTATATGACATGTATGCTATTTGTCAGGTTTAGGGGAAGTGTGCTCACATGTCTAATTGAAGGAATCCCCCCCCCACCTCTCCATACTGCAAAGACACAGCCAAGCTGGTCTCCTCTCTACTTTTTGTGTCTTATTATAAACCATCTGACCTTTTGACTCACTATGAGGTAAAGATGAGTGCTGGTTGTGGTGGAATGCCCTCCAGGTGGGCGTTCCCATGGGGCCGTGACATCACGTGACAACGATTAGCTGAACACTTTGAAAACATAAAGATTTGAATCATGTGATCTTGTGATTATCTGTGCTGTAGGAAACGTTGACAGGAAAGTATGGAGAAGACTCAAAGCTCATCTACGACCTGAAGGACCAAGGAGGAGAGCTGCTGTCCCTCAGATATGACCTCACTGTATCCTGCCTACTGCACCATATTCACATAGGTGTTTTATTATATAAGGGATCATTAATCTGCTTAACTGAAGGTTCACGAAAGGGAGAAAATACTTTTTGTTGCCTCTAAATGTTTTATCATTTAACACATTAATGCATCAAACAAGCAAGATGCTTCTTATTAACAGTAGAGCAACATTCATTTCTCAACAATGGATTTTTGAATATCCTGTTACTAATCAGGAGGACACAGGGTGTGATTGTGTAGATTAAGAATGTGTCCTTTATCACATGAGTTTACTTTAATTTATTTATGAAATATAGAACTTCCCTTTATCATTTTTTTGTTGTTTTGTTACAAAGGTTGCTTTTTAATTGTAACAATTGTATTTGTCTTGTATGTTGGTGCTACATTAACTTAGCCTAGTCCTCAAAGCAGAGTGTTGTTCTTGACCTGCCGTCCTTCAGGTGCCCTTCGCTCGCTACCTGGCCATGAACAAGATAACAAACATCAAGCGTTACCACATCGCTAAAGTGTATCGCCGTGACAACCCCGCCATGACTCGGGGACGTTACCGAGAGTTCTACCAGTGTGTGAGTCATCCTGATACATACGCACCACGACCCGCATACCGGAGGATCTGTTAGATCTTTAAAAGCTGACCTGGTTTTATGCACTCAAATTTGTGTGTGTTTCAGGATTTTGACATCGCAGGGCAGTATGACGCCATGATTCCAGACGCTGAGTGTCTGAAGATCGTCTACGAGATCCTCAGTGAGCTGGACATCGGAGACTTCCGGATCAAGGTTAGTCCCATCAATTCAGGGAAATGGCTATAGGGAAGCCGCAGATATGACGAGTGGAAGAGATAATCACTCTGATGTGCAGTATGCATTTTTCTCTTCAGAAGACTGCTACTTATTTAGTTTTTCCCACTGTGGGAATCATAATGGTTTTCTGACTGTGATAACCACGTCCTCCGTGTGCAGGTGAACGACAGACGCATCCTGGACGGGATGTTCGCTGTGTGTGGTGTTCCAGATGACAAGTTCCGCACCATCTGTTCAACAGTGGATAAACTGGACAAGGTTTGTGCTGCACCATGTGAAAAAAACAAAAACCTATTGAGATGATTTTGCGACTAAAATTGCCATATGATAAACGATACTGAATGGATTGATCATTTTGCATCCCAATTCTCATAACATTTGAAATATAAAATGAAACAATGGTTATGGGCTTTTTCTTTTGAGGATCTGGACCAAACAATATGTATTGTTAAGTAGAATACGATTTGCAGGCTGGGGTATCCCTGCGGCTCCACAATACTTACTTTAACAAGTATTCAATAATATATGTCCTGTAAGTTGAATAGTGTACTTGTCCATATTGTAATTTCGATTAATTATGCAGCCCTCCTATGTGCAAATACTCAGCTTTTATGAACTCAGTTCTCAAGAAGGACATGTACAAATATTGTAGAGCATGCTAAAATGTCGCTATAATGAGACAAACGAGTTTAACCCTGTTTTCTTCCACCTTCTCTGTCATTCATCAATATCTCCTTATGTTGTTTGAACCCAGATGCCGTGGGAGGAAGTGAGGAAGGAGATGGTGAGTGAGAAGGGTCTCTCAGAGGAGGCTGCGGACCAGATCGGGGAGTACGTCAGTTTACAGGGTGAGACTCCCAACTCACAGACATCAGTGACATGTTGTCAGTAAAGTATTCACTCCAAACAGGGGTTCATGAGATTATTGGAGCTATGGTTATTCTCCTATGGTATTATATCAAACAGCATCTAGTTTTGGGCCTTTTCCTGGACAAAAAAAGGCATGTGGGAATTTCTGAATGGCATTGTTTCAAAGGTTTGCATGTATAAGCACATTAGCTAGAGCGTAGCTTTGGCAGTGAAACTCTTCAGTCTAATGCAGTGTTCATTTTGGCAGCTGTTTTTGATTTAGTCTTAGTCTTTAGACGAAAATGGTTATTAGTTGTAGTCACATTTTAGTCATTTCTATCCTTCATAGTTTTAGTCTAGTTTTAGTTGACGAAAACTCAAAACGTTTTAGTCTAGTTTTCAGGCATGAAAATCACTCACCTTTCGGCTAAATTCGCGGTTTTGAATCCAAAATAGGTCGTTTGTGTGATTCATGTAGATCTGCAATAAAAATATTTTTGGGGTATGGGGGGGTCTGGGACCCGGAGTAATCTGCGGCCGCGAGCTGTTATGTGCCGTCATGACACTCATGGTGTTCTTTTTTATATATATTATAATGCAGCGTGAGCTGTGTGCTCGAGTCTTCCTGCCTGTCGGCTCTGCTGCTCCGCGATGATGGTCTAGCTTCAGCAGCCACATTACCTTCGTTAATATTAACTGTGCGGCCCGGAGTCACTGGTACAGACTGGACCGCTGGTGAACAGCTGTTAGAACGGGCCGTTCAGGTGTTCAGAGCAGAGCTCCTTGTCGGAGCACAGAGTGTGATGTGCACTGAAAAGTTTTTCTGTCGCAATATTATCGTTGAGCTAGCTAGCTAGCATACATTGTCACTATCTGCTAACGTTAGCTTTAGCCTTCGTTTTCTAATAGTTTTTTTTTCATAGGCTATAAACGGAGGTGGTATAAATATAGATCTTAAAAGTAGAAGCACTCAGATCTTGTAATTGAGTAAAAGTAGAAGTACTCAGATCTTGTACTTGATTAAAAGCAGAAATACTCAGATCTTGTAATTGAGTAAAAGTAGAAGTACTCAGATCTTGTACTTGATTAAAAGTAGAAATACTCAGATCTTGTTCTTGAGTAGAAGTAGAAGAACTCAGGTCTTGTACTTGAGTAAAAGTAGAAGTACCAGAGTGTAGGAATACTCTGTTAGTAAAAGTACTGCATTCAAAATGTTCCTCAAGTAAAAGTAGAAAAGTATTCTCATCAAAATATAGTGAAAGTAGCAACAGTAAAAGTAGTCGTTGTGCAGATTGGTCCATTTCAGAATAATATATATGATATGTTTTATAATGATTGATCATGAAAGTGTTCTCAAAGTTGGTAAAGGTGCAGCTAGTTTGAATGACTTTGTGTACTGCAGGGTAGCTTGTGGATTTACTCCAGGTGGAACTAAAGTCTGATTCAACACTTGATTAGATTTCACATCATTCATCCACATCTGTAAAGTAACTAAAGGTATTAATACATGTAGTGGAGTCAAAGTACACCATTTACCTCTGAACTGTAGAGGAGAAGAAGAACAAAGTAGCAAAACATTGAAATACTTAAATAAAGTACAAGTATCTCAAAATTGTACCCAAGTAGGCTATAGTACTTGTTGAGTTTATGAATTTAGTTACTTTACACCAGATGCCATAAAGATAGAAAGACTAAGCCTTGCACAGAGGCATGACAATAGATTTTCAAAATGCTCAACAGTGCTGCCAAAATTATAAACTGACTGCTACACAATTAAAATAAATGCTTTTATATATTTCTATTAGAAGTGACTCTTTAGCGTTTCTGTTATTATTAACACTGCTGCTTTAGTTGTTTTGACTGCTAAAATCCTCTGTTATTCCTCATTTTAAAGCCGATATTCCGTGGGGGCGGGGGGCTCGGGTCCTTGTCACCTTTTCCATACCTGATGAGTTTGCATCCCTGATAATACTTAGTAAGGAGGCCATAATATTTTTTACTCATGACTGAAGTTAAGTTTCTCCAGCTATCCCCAGGTTGGCAAAAAAATGCATCTCAAAATGCATCAGATTGATGCTTTAAAATATGGAATATTCAAAATGTTCTTCCGGGGGAGCATGCCCCCGGACCCCCCTAGAGGGATAATATCCTTCTCACCTATTTCACCCCTGACCCGTTTTCATGCCTGAGTTTTAGTTGACGAAAACGTTGGGGGAGAGCAGCCCTCCAGCCCTGTAAGGGCCCAACGCGCCCCTCGCCCATCCCGGGACCCTCAGAGGGCCCGAGAACAGCGAAGGCGCATTACGTCCGGGGAGGGGGTCAGATGCCAACTGACCCACAACCCCACCCCCCCCCCATACCAGTCCTGTGTTGCCCCCGCAAGCACAGACGAGGAGAAAGAGCCAGACATGTCCAAGAGATAAAACCTTATGAAGGGGCCTGGCGTCGACCAAGACGCCGCTGTGCATATATCCTCCACACTCACACCGTTTAATAAGGCTGTTGACACAGCTACAGCCCGTGTGGAGTGCGCACGAGCCCCCGTGGGGCAGGCTCTCCCTGCCTGTCCGTAGGCATGAGCAATGCCCTCGCAGAGCCAGCCTGCCAAGCGTTTCTTGGACAGAGCTTTCCAGATCACCCCGCCCCCGAAGCACACGAACAGCTGTTCGGTGCGTCTAAGGGCAGCCGTGCGCTCCACATAACATGCTAGCGCACGCACCGGGCAGAGGAGGTGCAGTCTAGCTTCCCTGGCCCCACCATGGGGGGGAAGACTAAAACCCCCTAACTGAATAGCCCTTGACCTGAACGCACTCCTTAGGCTCTTGGGCACAAAGGAGGGGTTCGGTCTGAGTGTCGCGCCGCTCCGGTCACCCCGAATCCGTAAACAGCTCGGGTGCACCGATAGAGCGGTTAACTCGGACACTCTTTTGGCTGACGTTAAGGCAAGAAGCAAAGCTGTCTTCCACAACAGTGCTTTTAGGGAGGAGAGCTCCAGAGGCTCAAATGGTTCTAAGACCAGAGCTCCGAGCACTAGGGGCAGGTCCCACTGTGGGGTGGAGGCGTGCACTACTGGGCGCAGCCACCTGACCCCCTGTAAAAACCGCAACATCAGTGGTTGACTAAAGGCTGACCTGCCGCCAAATCCCTCATGGCATGACGAGATGGCTGCTGCATACACTTTCACTGTTAAATGCGCAAGCCCTCTGTCCACCAATAACTGTAAGAAGGAAAAAATAGAGCCTAACTCACAAGATAGGGGCTCTATTCTCCTCTCCTCACACCCTCGCTGGAATCCTAGCCACCTCGGTCTGTAACAGGCTGTGGTGGATCCAGCTCTAGCTGCCTGGATAGACTGAATAACACTGTCAGACAATCCACCCTGTCTCAGCCTGTCCCTCTCAGGAGTCACTGGAGAGGTTGGCCGAGAGTGGGTAACGCCCCGATTGCACCTGCCTCTTGAGACATCGCTCCCCAGAACTGGGGAACCGCCCAGGGCTGGCCCACCTTCATCTGTGTCATCTCTGAGTACCAGGGCGCCCCGACGCGGTCCGGAGCCACTAGTTCTCGCCTCACCCTCCCCAGGAGAGGGAGAATGAGACGCAGCGGTGGAAAGGCGTATAGCAGCTTCCTTGGCCATGGCTCGTGTGCAAACGCGTCCACCCCCAAGGACGGGTCGTTGCCCAGGGCCATGGAGAACCACAGGGCACAGTGGTTGTTGCGCCGGCTGGCGAACAGATCCACTTCCGCTCTCCCGAACTGGGCCCAGATCTGCTTCACCACCTCTGGGTGAAGCGTCCATTCGCCTGGCAGAGGGCCGCCCCTCAACCTGAGGTTGGCCCCCCTGTTCTCCAGTCCCGGGATATGGAGGGCTCTCAGAGATAAAACCACCTCTGATGCCCATAACCACAGCCTCTCCGCTGTGGTCAACAAGGCGGCGGAGCGGACTCCGCCATGCCTGTTGATATAAGCCACTGTGGTGCTGTTGTCGCTCCTGACCAATACATGTCTCCCTTGAATTAGGGGCATGAAATGCTGGAGGACTAACACTACCGCCCGTAGCTCTAGGAGGTTGCTGTGTCGAAACTCTGTTAGAGCCCAGCGCCCACGTATAGTCCTCTTCAGGCAGGTCCCATCCTGTTCTGGATGCGTCCGTGACACTGTGATGTAGGAGGTCATCCGTCCCAGTGGAGACCCCCTCCGGAGGTGATCCGGGGACCCCCAAAACCGGAGGTTGCCCTCCACTGAGGGGGGGATGGTCACCAGCCGCCGTTTGTGCCTCTTGGGATCCAAACGCAGGCTGGAGAACCACCTCTGCAGGCGGCGCATATGCAGTAACCCCAGCGGGACCACAATGTGAGCAGCCGCCATGAGACTCAAAGTCTGCATGACAGTTAAAGCTGTCGGAGAAGGGACGCACTTCTGCTCTCTGACAGGGTGGCGCGTAGCGCGTCTGCATCGAGCACCACTCCCAACTACAACGCCTGTTGTAGGTATGGGGGTGCTCTTTTTTCAATTGATCGCAAAGCCCAATCTGATTAGTTGTGTGATCAATTGTGCTGTGCAAAACAGCCGTGGGCGTGCAGCGGTTGAAGCGCAGTGGCCACACATTTACTGAACGTGCGTGGGGATAGGGAATAGCCCAACGGTAGTCTGTTGTACTCGTAGGCTATCCCCTGGAAGGCAAAACGCAGACACTTTCTGTGCTCTGGAGCAATTTCTACATGAAAGTACACATCTTTCAGGTCGATGGTGGTGAACCAATCGCCTGGCTGCACAAGCCCCAGTAACTGTTTCATAGTTAACATGCTCAGGCCGCTGAGACGACTCCCTGGAGGTATGATATCTCTTTCTTCTTCTTTCAAACGTCTCTCAGTCTCTCGTGAAATCACTTCCGCTGCTGAAGAGAAAAGGATGATAGTCAGGAGGCGAGGCCTCCTTTTATACGGTGTGATGCGCGCGCATTCAGGTAGGCCCGCCCAAGGCCGGCTACGTCTATAGAAGTCTCAGTGGGAGAATGCTCGCGGGGTAAGATAGTACCCATAGAGTCCAGTAGAGGGCGGAGCCTGTGAGAGATATAACTCCAAATGTTTTAGTCTAGTTTTAGTCGACGAAAACTCAAAACGTTTTAGTCGACGAAAACTCAAAACGTTTTAGTCAACTTTTAGTCGATGAAAAATTACATTTTAATCAACTTTTAGTCCAAATGTTTTCTCTCTTTAAACTCATTCAGTTAGGCAAATACAGGTTTCTGACATTGGAATCAAGGTGACAGCATCAAGTGTTGAAATTCGTAAAGCAACATTTCACTCTCTTAACACTTTACTTGTGTAATATCTAGGGATGGGTATCGTTAAGGTTTTCTACGGTACTACTAGTCTTATCGATACTGCTTATCGATCCGGTACTTTAACGGTATTCTTGTATTTACTTTTTGTTATTTTTTAAAGGGAAAAACTAACAAATTGTTAACCGAATTAATTGCTTTATTTAAATGTGAAATAAATGAAATCTATATAATTATGTTAAAAATATTGTACTGTACTTGAGTAAAATGTTGAGGTACTTTACTGGAGTATTTAAATGTTTTGCTACTGTGTACTTCTACTCCACTACAGTTCATAGGTAAATGGTGTACTTCTACTCCACTACAGTTCATAGGTAAATGGTGTACTTCTACTCCACTACATGTATTTAGTACCTTTAGGTACTTCACAGATCTGGATGAATGATGTGAAATCTAATCAAGTGTTAAATCAGACTTTAGTTCCACCTGGAGTAAATCCACAAGCTACCCTGCAGTATACAAAGTCATTCAAACTAGCTGCACCTTTACCAGCTTTGAGAACACTTTCATGATCAATCATTAGAAAACATATCATATATATTATTCTGAAGTGGACCACTCTGCACAACGACTACTTTTACTGTCGCTTCTTTAACTATATTTTGATGATCATACTTTTACTTGAGAACTCTTCCTACACTATGGTATTGTTTTACTTAACTACAAGATCTGAGTACTTCTCCCACCTCTGCGCACCTGATGTGATAACGTTACTCGTAATTGGGGCAACAGAGCTACGAGTTAAGGAAGTTGAAAATTCTGCATTTCTCCGACTGAATATGACGCCTTTTGGCCGGCTTTTTGGACAGACTGCTCGTGTCAACGCGCTAACTCTCTGAATGCTCCGTCCCCGGCAGATCTCTGTGTGCCGCTGCAGCATGTCTGTTAGGCACACAGAGAGACACAGGGAGATCGCTCTTCTGGAGTGAAGAGAGCGGAAATAATGATATTGCAAGTTAGAAACGTAAGATGCATTTTGACAGACAAGACGGACAATTGGGGGGAAATACCCTGCATTTTGAATGTCTGATAGTCCACCATTAACACCTTAGTCTCGTCAACGAAAACTAAATATACATTTCGTCAAAGTTTTCGTTATCAAGAATCTATTTTTAGCTCGTCATCGTCTCGCATTTTAAAAGGTTGTTCGCCTGCCGTCTGTCTGCAGACTTGTCAAAGCATTAATTCATGGTTTTTACTAACCGGTATCAGTATGTTGTTACTTCGGCATCATTTTGAAACGTGTATTACAATTAAATCACGGTCAAATATGTTAATTTTGTTGTAGTTGTAGCCCCCTTGCCAGCGATTCTCTCTCTAGTTTAGCATACTCAGCCCGGTTGTTGGCCCGGAAAGAACCTGGATTTTGGAGTGCCAGAAAACTGTGAAACAGTACCCGTTAGCCGGAACTACCCCTAGTGAAAACCCAAAAATGGGCCGGTTTGGCACGGCACGCTTAAACCGTGCGCCAGGCTCCTCCAACAATGCAACATATGATACATAAAACATAACATTACAAGACATCAAATAATGCAAAAAAAAAAGTGAAATAGACAAAAAGTTGCAGGTAAGTTGCAGGAATAGGTAAGAATATAAACCTTTACAATAAGACACAAATCTGAAATTAATAATAAATACATAGGATAGATACTACTGTACTATATTCTGATATTTTAAATTAAAAAGAATAAAAGAATGAAAAGAGAAAATATATTACGGTTATGATTTATTATGAGCAGCGCTGATCTCACGGAGCCCCCTATACACTAAAACAGAGCTAAAGAGGGGGAGTGCTGGACCTTATTCCAACAGGGTGGGTGCTGATGTAGCTGTGTTTGTGTTGCAGGTGGGATGGAGCTGGCAGAGCGCCTCCTGCAGGATCAGAAGATGTGTCAGAGTAAGCAGGCCAGTGCGGGGCTGATGGACATTAAGCTGCTGTTCAGCTACCTGCAGCTGTTCCAGGTCACGGACAAGGTGACTCACCTGATATATTTCCCAGCATTCACTTTGTTCACTGGAGTCAACAATGTGTTAAAGCTCCTTATCATACCTTCTACTTTCCTCTCTTCTCTGTTAACCTGCTACCTTTTCATTCCTCCATTCTGTGCAGGTGGTGTTTGACCTGAGTCTGGCCCGGGGTCTGGACTATTACACAGGGATCATTTACGAGGGGTTTCTGACTCAGGCGGGCATCGCTGCTGAAGCCCAGAATGGTTCTGGTGCAGAGGAGAGTGTGAGCGTGGGCAGCGTAGCGGGCGGGGGCCGGTACGACGGGCTGGTGGGGATGTTTGACCCCAAGGGCAGGAAGGTGCCATGTGTGGGGGTCAGCATCGGCATCGAGAGGATCTTCTCCATCATGGAGCAGAAGGCCGAGGTAATCCTGTGAGTGAGTGAGGGTGCGTTCACACCTGCCTTGTATAGTCCGGTTGAATCGAACCCTGGTGCGTTTAGCCGCTTGGTGCGGTTCATTTGGGTCGGTGTGAACACAATCCGAGACCTCTTAAGTGAACTAAACAACCGGACTCTGGTCCGCTAAAATACGTGGTCTCCGAGCGCTTGCTTGTGAACTCTGGAGCGGTTCATTGCTGGTGTGAACGCAGTCCGCACCAAAACATAGGAAGCGTAGTATTTACGTGTCACAAGAACGCGGATGTCTTCAAAATCTTTAGCGAAAGAATCCTTTAAGACATCCGCGGTTGTTTAGTTAAAGAGTGAAGACCAAAACCTGTCGTTGGTGAAACGCCCCTCCTTACTGCAGAACGTCTCTCATTATATGTGTTATAATGTTTTTTAACGGACGCTGTCTGATTATATAATCATATGCGCGGGCCGCTAGTGTCTGTTGATCTCCAGATTAACAGCAGCATGAGAATAACCTGCCGATGCTCCATGGCGGAGGCTCCGGTAGAAATGGCCGGGATTTGCGTTTTTACGCCCTTAATGTCTGACCAATGGTTGAACAGCATTTCCGTGCACATGACTTGTGTTTAAAGTTTATAGTCCGTTTGAGTTTTTCCCGTGTGAACGCAAACTGAACCTTCTGAAAAATGAAACAATGTAACAAACTGTGGTCTGGTGTGCAACAGAGAGCGGACTATTAGGTGTGAATGCACCCTGAGACTCTAAGTCAGTGTTTCTCAAACTTTTTCATACCAAGGACCACTTAACCAATAAAAAAACACTCGCGGACCGCCTAACTTCACAAATATAAAAAAACGCATCGTTTTTCTAGAACAGATTACAAATCGCCTGAAAATGGTACAAACAAGTGGCAGCAAGTGTGATGAAGGTGTTTATCTGGGCTATATCATGCAATCAAAAGTGAAACTTAACCTCGCTCCATTGCGGAGATATTCTTGCGAGAGTGCGGAAAACTGAAATGTATTTATTTATTTCAAATGTGAAATGTTACCAATATACTCACGGACCACTAGGGGGCGCTCACGGACCACCAGTGGTCCGGGCCACACTTTGAGAAGCACTGCTGTGTGTGTGTGAGACTGTAAATGTGTGTGTGAGTCCTGTAACAGTGTGTGAGAGACTGTAACTGTGTGTGTGAGAGACTGTAACAGTGTGTGTGAGAGACTGTAACAGTGTGTGTGAGAGACTGTAACAGTGTGTGTGTCTGTCAGTCAGACTGTAACAGTATGTTAATGATATGTGTTTGGCTGTCACACTATGTTGTTAATACGTGTGTTGCTGTCACACTAACTGTGTGTGTGTTTCAGGCCTCAGCACAGAGGGTCCGCACCACAGAGGTTCAAGTGATGGTGGTGTCTGCTCAGAAGAACCTGCTGGAGGAGAGACTCAAACTGCTCACTGAGCTCTGGAACGCTGGCATCAAGGTGTGTGTGTGTGTGTGTGTGTGTGTGTGTTGTGTGTGGTGTGTGGGTGTGTGTGTGTGTGTGTGTGTGTGTGGTGTGTGTGTGTGTGTGTGTGTGTGTGTGTGTGTGTGTGTGTGTGTGTGTGTGTGTGTGTGTGTGTGTGTGTGTGTGTGTGTGTGTGTGTGTGTGTGTGTGTTGTGGTGTGTGTGTGTGTGTTGTGTGTGTGTGTGTGTGTGTGTGTGTGTGTGTGTGTGTGTGTGTGTGTGTGTGTTATATTTGCAGATTCCACTTAATGTTGCTTCGTAAGTCTGGAGTCTGATTTCTGAAAAGTATTACTATCACCTTTGCACTAGACTGGACTTTTTGGTGTGGAAAGTTGACATTTGTCATGCTGTCATTTAAAAATATGATTTGTATTATTCGTCACACTGAATGCTGTGTATGTGTCCAGGCAGAGGTAATCTACAAGAAGAACCCCCAAACTGCTGAGTCAGCTGCAGTACTGCGAGGACTCTGGGATCCCCCTGGTGGCCATCCTGGGAGAGCAGGAGCTGAAGGATGGGATGGTGAAGCTGCGCACCGTGGCAACCAGAGAGGAGGTACCTGAACACATCTTTATTAAAGAGGATACCAAATTATGGTTTTTTTATGTTTTTATTACCATTCAACCATTCACACACAATCATGCAGAGGCAGCCGTACAGGCTCAGTGTTGGCCATTGGGAGCAGTTTGGGGTTGAGGGCCAATATATTTGGATGTGTCTGTCTGTTTGTGTGTCAGGGCCGTAAGACTGAGATGCTGCAGGACTAACCTCACTGTCTGCTCTCTCCCCACAGGCTGATATATCCAGAGCAGATCTGATAACTGAGATCAAGAGGAGGACCTCTGAGGCCTAGACGTTAACCCCTGCCCCCCCCACGCCACCTTCAAACAGACTCCTTTGCAATGATGTCGACATGCCTTCAGTGTCAGCACTGTATAACAGGGAGCTGCTGTGAGGAACGCATCAGTTATTATTATCTACAAAGCTGCTACATTCATTTGTACAGCTCCATCTCTGCTCTGTTTAAGACGTGTACTTTCTCCCTGCACCATCTCAGCTTCTAACACTTTCATTTGTTCCATGGCTGTACTGTCAGGTGTCTGAAATAAACTCAATGCTCAGCAGCTTGTGTTCACTGACATTCTCAGTTTAAAACAATATGATGTTTCTCACTTACTGTACTTAGGTGGCATGTAGCCTGTTTTGGTTTATTACTTTATCAGACTGGGTTTACCAGCATCTACGAGGGTGCTGACAACGGGAAATCATGTTGGATGTTTTTTAATAATGAAGAGCACATTTCTTCAGATCAACATTTACTACACACAATGTAACTAACATGTGATAGAAATCAAGCAAGTTCTTCAATAGGATTTAAAATGCTATCTTATTCCACTAGAGACCTGAAAGATAGAAATCCTTTTAGAAAAAGGAACACACAATGAGTTTCTTTCCTGCTAGTAAACTGAATATCATTGGAGTTTGACATGAAAATATCACCTTGAACTGATAAAGAACAGGCATCTATCATTTTCTTGACTAATATTGATACCATTTCATTTGGTGCAGTCTATTTGACTCCTATAATAAAGCCTACTATTGTAATAAATAGCGTCAGCTTGTTGTCAAAAATAGTCAAAGCAGCCTTCTCAAGATTAAAACACTACAGCCACATTTAGGGAAATCATGCATTACATAAATAGTTCTCTTAGCCAATCAATCAAAACCTCCTCTTTACATCTTGTTCCTATGTGGATGACTATTTGTAAATTATTTTGGAACTATCAGTGAAACAAGTCTTTCAGACACATCCTAACAGCTGGATCAGGATCATTTTCAGATTCTTTAGCTATAACGGCAGATGTTGTGAATCTGGTGCAATAATCCTGTATCAAAACAATGCTATTTATATTATATATACACTTGGGGTGGCTACAAACCGAGAGGCTAATCCTGACGCAGAGTGGAGAAGAGGACACCATCTTCCTCCATTCACCTGCAGGGAAGCACTGACAGTCATCTTCTTTGACCTCTCCAGTGCTTTGAACAGATCTTTTTCTGTGGGTGCAACAAGCTTCACATCAGGGTGACTGGAGCGCTGCAGATCTGAGAGGAAGAGGCTGGGCTTCATCCAGGGAGGACGTGGAGACATGGGGGGTGTTTCTCAATGTCGAGGACGCTTCCTTGGTAGGACATGTCTTCCGAGTCAATTTTCCGCCACTGTCTGTTTCCCTCCCCGATTACCCGATTGTGTTCACCTGGTACCTCTGTGTTTTCTCCTCCCTCCTCACCTGTCTCGTGTTTATGTGATTAGTCCTGGGTGTATTTAAGTTCTGGGTTTTCTGTCTCTCTTTGTCGGGTTGTCTTGTGTTATGACCAGTTCATCGGTGAGTGTTCCGTGCTGTCTTTGTGTATACTATATCTAGCCTTGAAATAAAGGAATTATTGTTACTCTAATCTGCATTTGGGTCCTGCTTCCTGCACACCGTAACAGCCACCGTAACATTACAACCCGACCATAATATGGGCCCAGCAGATCCTTTTGAGCAGGAGCTATTGGAGTTTTCCTTTGCTTTGGATGACTGCTCGTATCGATGGTTGGGAGCGTCCAGGGTTCAGCAGCGAGAGGCTGTTCTGGCAGAGGCACGCCGGATTACTATGGAGAAGCCAGGCTTGGTTAAATTCTTATCGGGCAGGATTTTGGATTTTCTCACGGTGTGTTATCCCTTGCCTGACAGCCCCAGGCCTCCCAACTCCCGTTTTGATACCACATGCATCGGTGTGGTCCGTCTGGCGTCAGCCCCTGCTTCTCACCCAGTGTTTGCTACAGTCCAGGAGCCATTCGCTGGTACTCGTCTGGCCTTTGGAGGTCCACGGAGCCTCCAAACGGCTCCTAAAGGAAGGAGTCGCAAGGCCAGGTTGGCAGCACGAGCCCAAAGGGCCATGGTTCCAGACCCAGTTCTGGCCCCAGCAGCCATGGTCCTTGCTCCAGAACCGGTCCCGGCAGCCATGGATTCGGCTTCAGAACCGGACCTTACAGCCAAGATTCTGGCTTCAATTCCGGCTCCAGAGCCGGGCCCATTCAGCCATGTTTCCGGCTCCTGAACCGGACCTTACAGCCATGATTCTGGCTTCAGTACCGGCCCCAGTAGCCATGGTCCCGACTCCAGTTTCGGCTCCAGGACTGGCGTACCGGCCAACGCCAGCTCCCCGAGTCTTGTCGGCGTACCGGCCGACTCCAGCACCTCGTCTCCTGCTGGCTCTCCAGCCGACGCCAGCTCCCCGTGTCCTGTCGGCGTACCGACCGACACAAGTTCCTTCTCAAGACCCTTCTCAAGTCCCCTCTCAAGTCCCCTCTCAAATTCCTTTTCAAGTCCCCTCTCAAGTATCCTCTCCAGTTCCCTCTCGAGCTACCTCTCGAGTCACCTCTCAAGTCACCCTTCAAGTCTCCTCTCGAGTTCCCTCTCAGGTCCCCTCTCGATTCTCTTCTCAAGTTCCCTCTCAAGTCCCCTCTCAAGTCCCCTCTCAGGTCCGATCTCGAGTCTCTTCTCAAGTCCCCTCTCAGGTCCCATCTCGAGTCCTCTCTCGAGTCCCCTCTCAAGTTCCCTCTCGAGTTCCCTCTCAAGTCTCCTCTCGAGTTCCCTCTCAGGTCCCATCTCGAGTCTCTTCTCGAGTTCCCTCTCAAGTCATCTCTCGAGTCCCCTTTCGAATCCCCTCTCAAGTCTCCTCTCGAGTTCCCTCTCAAGTCATCTCTCGAGTCCCCGCTCGAGTCCCCGCTCGAGTTACCTCTCAAGTCACCTCTCGAGTCTCCTCTCGAGATTCCTCTCAAGTCACCTCTCCAGTCAACTCTCAAGTTTCCTCGCGAGTCCCATCTCAAGTCACCTCTCGAGTCACCTCTCAAGTCACCTCTCGAGTCACCTCTCGAGTCACCTCTCGAGTTCCCTCTCGAGTTCCCTCTCGAGTTCCCTCTCGAGTTCCCTCTCGAGTCCCCTCTCCAGTTTCTTCTCGAGTCCCCTCTCCAGTTCCCTCCCGAGTCCCCTCACCAGTTTCCTCTCAAGTCCCCTCTCCAGTTTCCTCTCAAGTTCCTTCTCGAGTCCCCTCTCCAGTTTCCTCTCAAGTTCCTTCTCGAGTCCCCTCTCGAGTCACCTCTCAAGTCCCCTCTCGAGTCACCTCTCGAGTTCCATCTCTAGTCTCTTCTCGAGTCACCTCTCGAGTTCCATCTCTAGTCCCTCCTCTAGTCCCCTCTCTAGTCCCCTCTCGAGTTCCCTCCTCTAGTCCCTCCTTTAGTCCCTCCTCTAGTCCCTCTTCGAGTCCCCTCTCGAGTCCCCTTCTCTAGTCCTTTCCCTAGTCCCTCCTCAGGTCACTTCTCTAGTCCCATCTCCAGTTCCCTCTCGAGTTCCCTCTCGAGTCCCCTCTCCAGTTCCCTCTCGAGTCCCCTCTCCAGTTCCCTCTCGAGTTCCCTCCTCTAGTCCCTCCTCTAGTCCCTCCTTTAGTCCCCTTTCTAGTCCCTCCTCTAGTCCTCTCTCTAGTCCCTCTTCGAGTCCCATCTCTAGTTCCCCTCTCGAGTTCCCTTCTCTAGTTCCTCCTCTAGTCCCTGCTCTAGTCTCTCCTCTAGTCCCTCCTCTAGTCTCTCCTCTAGTCCCCTCTCTAGTTCCCCTCTCGAGTCTCCTCTCGAGTCCCCTCTCGAGTCACGTCTCAAGTCCCTACCCAATGTCCTGGTCCGTTGGAGGTTCCGCTGGGGGTCCTGCCAACTCCATGTCCCGTTGGAGGTCCCGTCGACTACTCCTCTGCCGGGGGTCCTACCAATCGTATGTCTGTCCCGTTGGAGGTCCCGCCATCTACTCTCCTGCCGGGGGTCCTGCCAGCTCCTTGTCCTGTCACGTTGGAGGTCCCGCCGACTACTCTCCCTGCCGGGGGTCCTGCCAACCCTTTGTCCTGTCCCGTTGGAGGTCCCGCCGTCTACTCTCCTGCCGGCGGTCCTGCCAACCCATTGTCCTGTCCCGTTCGAGGCCCCGCCGTCTACTCTCCTGCCGGGGGTCCTGCCAACCCTTTGTCCTGTCTCGTTGGAGGTCCCGCCGTCTACTCTCCTGCCGGGGGTCCTGCCAACCCTTTGTCCTGTGCCGTTGGAGGCCCCGCCGACTACTCTCCTGCCGGGGGTCCTGCCAACCCTTTGTCCTGTCCCCTTGGAGGTCCCGCCGTCTACTCTTCTGCCGGGGGTCCTGCCAGCCCCTTGTCCTGTCTCGTTGGAGGCCCCGCCGACTACTCTCCTGCCGGGGGTCCTGCCAACCCTTTGTCCTGTGCTGTTGGAGGCCCCGCCGACTACTCTCCTGCCGGGGTCCTGCCAACCCTTTGTCCTGTGCTGTTGGAGGTCCCGCCGACTACTCTCCTGCCGGGGGTCCTGCCAACCCTTTGTCCTGTCTCGTTGGAGGTCCCGCCGTCTACTCTCCTGCCGGGGGTCCTGCCAATCCTATGTACTGTGCCGTTGGAGGCCCCGCCGACTGCTCTCCTGCCGGGGATCCTGCAAATCCCGTGTCCTGGTCCTCTTCCGTGGGGGATCCTGCCGAGGCCTGTCCCACCAGCTCCGACACCGGGTCCTGCCCGGTCTCCGGCACTGTCCCGTCAGCGCCTTCCTGCCCGGCCTCCCGGAGCTCTCTGGTCTTCGCCCTCGAGCCTGGCCCCCTGAGAGCCACGGTCTTCACACCCTCGAAGCCCGGCCCCCTGAGAGCCACGGTCTTTGCCCTCAAGCCCCCCCGCCTGAGAGCCGCGGTCTTCACCCTCGAGCCCGGCCCCCTGAGTGCCGCGGTCCTCGCCCTCGGGCCCGGTCCCCTGACTTTTCCTGCCGTTGCCTTCGCCCTCGGGCCCGGCCCCCTGACTCTTCCTGCCGCTGCCTTCGCCCCTCCATGGTCCCCACCTTGGACTCTGTCTTGCCCCCGGGCCGTCCGCCCGAGTCCCCCTTTTTGGACTCTGCCTTGCCCCCGGGCCGTCCGCCCGAGACCCCTTCCTGGTCCTGTGCCTTACCCCCGGGCCGTCCGCCCGACTTCCCCTTTTTGGACTCTACCTTGCCCCCGGGCCGTCCGCCCGAGACCCCTTCCTGGTCCTCTTCCGTGCCCCTGGGCGGTCAGTTCAGTCCCGTCCTCCTGACCCCCTCCACCCACCCT